TAAACATCATCTGAGTCAAAAGCTTTAAAAACAATAACTCACTCACATAAAAACTTTAGCATCATTGTATTCGATTGTTGATTGTAGCTCTTTCATTCTTTGACATGAGTTACAGTACTCATTTTGCATAAGAAATGAAAGAAATCACGAATTCTGTATCATCTTCTTTATAAGTCTGAATTCAACTTCACAGACTAAAAGGTCAAAATGAAATGAACGTGATTTTCTCAAAGCGATATTGCAGTGCAAACGCTGAGAAGTAACGTACCCCGACAATCCCCCTTTTATGAGAACGAAAATGGAACATGCTCTTTTTGATTGGCGTCTTTTTAAGGTTCCGTATCCAAAGGGTAAAACGGGACCCTATTTCTAAGACTCCGCTGTCTGTCTGCCTGTCTGTCTGTCTGTTTGTCTATCTGTCTGTCCGTCACTAGGCTGTATATCACATGAATCATGATAGTTATAAAAGTGGAAATTTCACAGATGAAGTATATCTGTTGCTGCTATAACAATAAATACTTAAAAATAGAACAACAAAATACTTAAGTGCGGCGCTCATACAATATACATGATTTTTTGCCGTTTTTATAGATAATGGTACGAAAGCCTTCGTGCGCGAGCCGGCTCGCACTTGGCCGGTTACTTTTCTTGATGAGGGAACAATCGTAATAACCATAATTCTATAAAACAATATAAACGAACAGAATGAGAAGCGAATGTATCTAACAAATTAATTCAGCGAATTAATGAAAACATTTTAAGGGGCGTAGTATTCGTTTATTTGTTCACTTTACTTTGTCAATAAAAAAAAATATTATATAACTAAATGGAGTCAATTTAAATCTGTTATTTTGCATATTAATAATGTTGTAATGCGATTATAACTCATTCAAAACGTAATGTATATTCTAATATTTTGTTACGTATATATTTCGCAATAGTTAACGAATTTTATCGACATTTTGAAAAAAGAATAGACCGATAGATAGATGACCCTGTAATAGAATTCGCGATGACAGGTCGCGTGTAGGAATCTTTATGGGGCACCCAAATTTTCAGGTTTACGGATTTATTTGTGACTACCGGCTAGGCTGCTTTCGTGTTATCGACCCAATGAACTAGAGAGATTTAGTTTTAACCTAGTGTTTATTTAGTTCATTGAGCTGGTGTCACTGTAAAATTTTTAGTAGTACTGGCACCAGTACCTACCTGGTACCCAAAGAGGGCATCAGGACTTGTATGTGTGTAACTAGGGATGATCAATGAACGAGGAAAGTTTTAAAAATCCAACATAATGAGCATGGTGAATTTTGGTACGAGGAGATCCAAAAAGGTGATTAACTTCATAATAATTACTATTATAAAATCCTTACTACGAAAGTTTGTATGTATGGATGGATGTTTGTTACTCTTTCACGCAAATAGTACTGAATGGATTTTAATGAAACTTTACAATAATATAGCTTATACATCAGAATAACACGTAGGCTATAATTTATATACATGTTTTTATGTACATCCGTCTTTCTGTCTGAATGTTACGCTTTCAGCCTATTTTACGCAGACGCAGTCGCGGGCAGCAGCTAGAATCTAATAAAATGCTAAAGGTAATTAATCGTGTTGAGGAAAATTTACCATAAAAATAAATAATTCATTACACAAAAAACGTTAAAATATAGACTTAAAGCTATTATACATATTTGAATATTATAATATAAAATGAATATATAATAGGAATATTTTATCCGGAAAGGCGAGTAGATATTAAATAAATAACAGCAACAATTTATTACATTTCTTGTTATGTTTTTACGGTCAGAATAAACATATTGTGCAGTGTAGTGAAACGGCAATTAAAGATTGTCCAAGGTAAATAATGAGTTTTTTTCAATGTAAACTATTATGAAGTAAATAAAACCATAGAAACTATTGTTCCCATGCCACTGCATTCATTTTAGATAATAATTTATTCATTTTGTAAGATTCGCTATTCAGAGACTTGTAAAAAACAAATAGTTATCTATTCCGACGTAGCTGTAAGAAGCATATATCAACATGGTGAATAAAAAATTCCAGCTGGAAGGGAGGATCCCGACTGAGCTACATTATTCATGCACAGAGGAGTATTGTAGGCTTTTGGCAAAAAAGATGGAAAAATACACGTTTAACGTAAAACAAGCTGTTATATCTTATTCAATGTCATTTAATATTATGCTTGTCATTATAATGCTTATAAAACTATAATTGCTAGTTTGTTTGTTAATTTTTAATAATTTATTTCAAATTCCCGATCGTTTGCATACTTTGCAGCATTTCTAGGTGCAGGATGGCAAAAGATCTAGGATTTAAAATGGACATCCTTATTTTACTGATTCGTGCTATCAACAGTTTATTAATACTATTAATTTTGAGTTCAATCAGCGCAGAAAGCGATGATTTCAAAGTCTAGCATCGTTGGTGAACCTAAATTTAATTTTATTGATTATAGCATTACAACTTTCTGAAATTTGAGTTGTTTTCAATTTATTTGTTTTGTGAATCGCGAGATGGGAATCGGTGTTTCTTTTACCTAAGATTTGGTCTATCAATGTAATGATTGGGGCGGTTTTATGTGCGGTCTCAGAAAGCATACTTCATCGGGCTTTTGCATTTTATGTCAGCTATATGTTGTTTAATGCGGTTTTTTATATCAATTTTTGTTTGTCTGGTATAATACATTGTCGTGACATTGATCAAGTTTTCTAAGAACGTTTACATTTTCGAAAATACATTTTAAAAGTATATTTAATTGAGTATTGATAACACAAAGTACTCGAATTCAACTTTTGTTAAAAGTTAACTGTGGTAGGGCCACGCTATTGCACGAATGGGCAGGTCCGTCCGGGTTAGTACCACGACCTCACAGAAGACCGGCGTGAAGTGGGAGTGTTACACTTCTGCGTTTCGTCTGGTGAGGAAGGTAGCCAAGGCCCACTTTATAAAAAGGTGGCCACGCTAAGGGTGTTGCAAATGTCAATGAGCGGTGGGAATCACTTAACACAGTGATGAACCACCAGCTCGTTTGCCTCTTTCTCACAAAAAACATTCTGAGCATTTTTTTTTCAGTTTACGTAGCAGTCTATGGGAGACCTATGTTCAGCAGTAGATTAAAATTGGCCAAAATGATGATGTTCATAGCGAATGTCGTCTACAGTTTATTAAAAGTATTTGAGATTTATCAATATAACATAGGTATATTTGATATTGTCTGTTTAATACAAGCTATTTACTTCTGTGAAAAAATAGGTAAGCAGGCGCCTAGATCGCGAACACGTTTTAATTCTATTAACATTTTTTAATTAACGTTAAAAATATCAAGATCAATTTTAAAAAATTAAATCATAGAAAACCAACGAATGTCCGAACCTGATTCATCTCAGACTAAAAAGTCTGCTGATATTTTCGGGGAAAGCTATTGTTGTTTTCGAAACAAAGAATGTTAAAAAGAAACAATACATTAAAGTAAAAGCAAAGCAAGTCGCAACAGAAATTTTTCAACCTTTCGTACAAAGATTGCGATATTTTAAACCGTCTACAATAATATCGATTTACAAATTATTACGAACCGGTCTTATACAGTTTAACATCACTTTTGAATATCTAGTCTGTAAGAAGGACTACGTTTTAAATTGTTTATATAGATGTGTTTATCTAAATTGAACGTTAAACAAAAAGTGAAAGTATACTCGTTATCTTGTTGTTACGTATATTGTATGATTGTCAGACGGTGTCTTATTAAACCAGTTCACATCGCTAAATATGTAAGGTATAATAATAGCTGGGATCTGAGCAGTAAATTTATCTTTAAATATGATTACATATGTTACTTTCACAAATGTCTTGGTTTCTTTTTGCCTACATTTTATAAAATAATTTGATTAAGGAAAGTTGTATTAAAAATACTCGCAAAAAGATTTAACATTTTTCAGCACATTTATCTGCAATTGGAGCAGAACAGCCTCATAAGTTGCATTTCAATATAAGTAAGTGCTTGCAGAAGCATGTGTTTATTTAAGTTGCATATATAGTTTTAATTAAGTTGCAAGTAGTGCTGTGCCTAAATATGGATCTATCCCGTATATTATTACAGACGAATATTTATTTTTCAATTTGAGTAACATGGCCCGATGGCATGTCATCCCAACGACAAGACAAATTACAAAAATGTCTCAATTAAAACATATCGAATGGAACCGCTACTTCTTTTAGGTGTGTCTGATCTTCAAAGAGACACGAAAAATGAGATTTTTTTAAGATTGCCCATAAATGGTATAATCAACTTAACAAATAATTATCTCTTAGCCCATATCTATTACAGCATTGATAATAGTTTATTTAGAAATAAAAAAAGTAATAAAATAGATCACACAATCACGATTTTGAGAGATCGATATCAAAACATGACATGCTATTGTCAACTGCAGCTGGAGTCGTTGATTTTGATTTATTTCGTGGATATATTTTTTTAAATACTGACGTATTTCGATTTACTACGGCCAAGAGTTTGTTAAGATGTTTAATATGTCGAAGCGAATTATTTATTTCATTCTTTTCATACATTATATAACATAAATCAGTTTGCGAGTCTCTAGAAACTGATAGAGCTGTGTAGGCCTAGCTTGTCACATTTACACGTTGTGCAGTTTGGTTGCGTTAGGGGTGGATAAGTCATTAATTTGTATTTGCTTGCAAAGAAATGTACATGTATAGTAAAGACTGAATATACGGAGATAGAGACTGTACCGTAATCAGAAAAATTACTCTTATTGATTAATCGTTTGGCGCGTGAGATGATAGCTAACATTCTAAACGTAATAGTTAGCAACATATTAGTGAATACAAACGTAGAGAACGTATGTAAGCTACTAAAATAAACGTCAGCACATCGCAACGCTAATAACCGGCGCGAGTACAACGGCACACCATTAGCTACACTCATCGGCCGTACGGCGATAGCTCACCCTCTCTGGAAGAGATCGACATTGTAGAACTTGAAGAGTTCGACGCTGAACTCGAAGGTGGCTTGCAGGTCGCTCATGGTGCGCGGGGGGTGCAGGGGCCGCGGGCGCGGGGGGCGGAGTGCGCCATGATAGTGCCTACTGGCCCGCCGGGCGCATGCCGCGCACAACACACCGCACACCGCACGACCACACCCGACACGCGGCGCCCCAGCACAGCTACGCGGCGGCCGCGGCGAGCGTCCGACGTACAGTGCGCCCAGCGGGACGTGGCGCCGGCCGCTGGGGCGCGTGCGCGGACGACGCGCAACCGCGCCGCCCGCCCTCCCTGCAGTGCGCGCGTACCTAGGCAGGTGCGCTCCCAATCAACCGCTAATCCGGCGTTCAGAGCCGGCCTCGCCGTACGCTAACGCCGCATCACGCCGGCCGCAGAAAAAGCCAGCTTGTACCGCACCCGCCGGCTAGCCGTGCCCACCCCGCTTTCCGCGACGACGCTTAACGAATTGCGGAAGTCGTACAATTTCGGCCGGGCTCGACAATCGATGATTTATCGCTGGCACGGCGTTAGTTCGGCGCTGTACAGGCGGCGATGTAATTTTAATTGTCCTCCCATTATTGCCATAGTTACAACACGATGTTTGTAATTTCATCGATCTACTACTGCGTACAAGTTTGTATTTGTTACAATAGTATCATCGTCATCATCTGTTAGAGACCACTGCTGAACATAGGCCCCCCAGAGACTGCCATGAAACATGTTCCTGAGCCACGCTACTTACGATATATCATAGGTCTTTTTAATGTACTTATTAAGATCGTAGCCAATTTTAGAACGGAGCTCTCTTTGGAGTTCGCTTTAAAAAAAGAACTGACGATCGCACGCTATAAATAGGTTTGTCAGAAATGGAAAGCGAAAATTTAATTTCGCTGAAATCCGAATGTAAAGGAACAATTAAATTTCGAGTGCCGCGGGGACGTGAATTTCGTAGGCACTGCGTGGTTGCTAAAGGTCGGAGGTCAACAGCAGGCTGGTCGATAGCGGGGTTCAAAGAACTATTTCGCCAAAGGGTTGTGGATTACCGACCTTTGGAGCGAGCACGCATATCTTTAATCAAATATTGGCATGTCTGCTTAGTAACTACTAGGTACAACTATTGATGTTAATTTGGAAATACATATAACGTTCGTTATTAGTATAGCCAAGTTTTACTACCATTTACTTTGTGGTAAAATATATTTACACGCTTATAGCACTTGCTACTTAGCAAGATTCTTCATTCTTTCACAGATTTCTTCATTCCCTGATCACTGAATACTTCATTCGGTTTGTTTCACATTCGTACGTCTGGTATGTATACCAGATATAGATATATATACATATATATATATATACATATATATATATATATATATATATATATATATATATATATATATATATATATATATATATATATATGCGAACGCTTACAAAATATGTGTATACCCGTCATTTTCGGGTTGCGTAAATACGATCTCATTTCTAGCTTCCGAACCCAGCTGGAATGGTTACCTATACGTCACCGTCGAGATTTGCATGTGGTATCCAAACTTTACTCAATTCTCAATAATCTTGCGAGAATACTCCTCAGTACCTCCGTGAGCCTTTTGAGTACATGGTGCCGCGTGGTCAACCCTGTCGTGAGATCAGATCCCTTCTTTTAAAATTACCCTCACACTCCTCTTCCTGTTTTGGCGGCTCTTTTACAGTGCACGCGGTGCGTCTTTGGAATTTGTTACCTCACAATGTCCGTGCCAGTGCCTCATCGGATGTCTTCAAGAATAGAGCTAAGGAATTCTATTTATCCGCATAACGTATTTTTCTTCGTGTCTATATATTTCTTGTTATTATCTTCTATCTTTATTTACTAATATATTGTATGTATGTTACGTATATGTATATTTACTTATGTATATATATATATTAATATATTTATGTATGTAGGGTATATTATGGATGGTAACGACACGCTGTATATATATATATATATGAAAAATATCACATTACATCAGATTAGAAAATCCGATACATACAAATAAAATCTAAAATATGAAAATTGTTGTATTTTGTCACATATGTCACAAATACACATTTAAAGACAAGCAATGATAAAAGAACTAACATAATAGTGCATTCGTTAATTAAATTCATCAGAATGGTACACGTGGCGTATATTACTAGGCACATGTATGTTCTTTTGCATCCAGCCAGCAATAAGCTGAGTGGTCGCAATACTTGTCATTGTCATTCTGAGGACGGGGCCCCTATCCATTGTCATATAGCTTTGCTTTCTTGCTCTGAACACTAGAGCGCTAAGCATACCTAGCTTTATTGTATTTTTTATTATATCGGACAAGTGTTTTTTTCTTATACTATCGCTGTAACAAAAGGTCAATATGTCTAGTTTCATTTTTGCAGGTATTGTTCGTTCGAATGGTGAGAGCTATTGTTGCTTTATAAACGTGTGCTGGTTCTATACCTTTTAGCTAGCTAGTTAGCTAGTATTTACGACCTTAAGGTATTAAAGCTTTGATACGTCTACTCAAGAATATCGATTTAGACTTGAGATATATTAAGATTATTATTTATCTCTAATGTACAACAATCTATTAGCTATCTCTGCCTAGCTGATTATGCCACTTGTCATTTAAAATTATAAAATGGTGAGCTAACTTCTTGATTTTGATTCGCTTAGAATATATACCAATCATAAGTAGGTTGAATTAACACAGCTATAATTCTCGCGTTCATAAGAAAATACAAGTATGATAGTGATAACAACAATGTTATAAGCCAATGAAATAAAATTTTAAGCTTCTAAAATACATAATAGGCAAACCATGATTTTTACGAAATGCTTTCATCTGGCATATTTTATTTTGCTACCGAATAAAATGTTTCAGTTGAAACTGAAACCGTCTAAGAAATATGTTATAAGAATTCAAAATACGAGGCGAGAGTGACGAACAGAATTTAGTTAAAGTCGTTGGAAACATCATCAGAGTTTGGCTTAAATGTATTTATCACATTTGGTAGTAGAGGTGGCAGTTTAACAAGTATCTATAACCCACTTAATAGCCTATATATCGCTCATCACTGCAGCACTTCATCTGATATAAAGGTGATGATGATGATATGTACAAATATTTTTGGCCAAATTAGTTCGAAATATTGTTTAATAGTATGTACCTATATGCAGTTTTTATGTTATGTTAACCATTCAGCTAATTTAATTCATATCATTCACATTATAGGTGAAATTTATTTAATTTTCTTCAGTAAACGGTCTACACTTTTTATATTTAAAAACAGTTTTTATATATATTCCTAGTATTCTAAAATAAGCCCTAGTTTAAGTAATAAGGTGTATAATCGAAACGCACGTAATAAAAGAATTTTAAAAAGCTTGCTTAAGACTCAAAAACAGAACATCTAAAGCTCACTATTACATATATAGCACAAATATTTAAACTCGCCACAAAATGTGTTTTTGTATCCATAAAAGTAAAATCAAGAAGTAAATGAAAAAAAACATCATATTATATATGTTTGTGTAACTGCTGGGCAAAGGCCTCCTCTGTACAGAGGGTATCATAGTAATAGTCCAACATAGTCCAACACGCGGCCCCACTGCGGATTGGCGGACTTCACATATCTTCGAAATATTAAAAAAAATATATTATTTCGAAAATATGCAGGTTTCCTCACGATGTTTTCCTTCACCGCTGAGCAAGTGATTATTCAGAACTTAAATAAACAATTACATTGGTGCAGGGCTCGAACTCGGGTTCCTCGAGTATTTTAAACCAGCTTTTCGCCCGCAGCTTCGCTCGCGTTGAAGCCCTTAAATAAGTATCTTTCAACTCTTTAAAACACTTTTTTAAAAAAGTAGCCTACGTCCTTTCCCAAGCTCTAGACTATCTGTGTACCAAATTTCATTTAAATCGGTTCAGTAGTTTTGGGGTGAAAGCGAGATAGACAGACAGACAGAGTTACTTTCGCATTTATAATATTAGTATGGATTAAAGCCGAGAGCCGCGGCTTTTTTGCCAATATACGATATAACAATATTTATAATGTATTGTACTGAAATTTCATATAATTGATTTATTAAGTTTATTGTCATACATACTGTCCTATTTTTATTATGCAACTTTATGTCAATATACACATACCTAGTAATGTGTGAAACCAAAAACGCTAAGCTAGTCAATGTACCAAGGAGAACATTTAAAATTGTAATATTAAAATTCATATGAATAGAGAATTTTAGTGAATGCGCGTTAATATATTATGACAATCGAGTCATTAGTTTTTATCATAAATCGGGGCACAAAAATGTAAATTTCGCTATCAAGTAGATTTACACGCGAATCCTCCTTCGACACTAAGAAAGTTCAACGACGCCATTCTGCGGTAATATTTACTGGAGACTATTATTTAAATATAGCGCCGCGTTCCTAAGCTTAATATGTTTATTATACCAACAACGGTCTTAATTATACGCGCGATTGAATAAATTATCCGGTCCCCTAGAAATGTTTAAGAGGCTTCTTGATGCCTTTGTTTGGCAAACATTTGAAATAATATCGAGTAGATTTAGCGTGAATACTTTATAAGATAATTAAAGTTGAAAGCTATTCAATGTTCATACGAATAACATTAAATGTTATTAAAAAAAAAAAGACGCATTGTAAGGAGAAATAAGTTTACAAAAATCTCAACTCGCACGGACTTCAAAATGGAAACAAACAAAGCACGTAGCAACGGATTTACGAATCAATCGGATTTGTATTTAAACATTCTTTAGTATTACCAACGGGCCATGAACACACAGTGTGGTCTGATAGCCTTTTAACAGATAACAGCGTTTCTTAATCTAAGATAACAGCATCTTGTTACTTGCAAGTTCAATTTTTTAAAATGTAATTTTTGACGCGTTAGGGAAAAAATGATGAGTGTCACGATGCGCGCTCACAGTGATTTGAAATTAGCACCATGAAGCATCTCCCTTTAATAATGTGTCATACATCAGTAATATGTCAAAACAGAAATAACCCCTACCGATAATCGCGTAGCCTATTATTCACCTCACCACCGGACCCCAGTGCAATATTAGTTCAGCTTCAATTTATTCCACGATATGACGTTTTAGCTTCTGCATCAGAAGGGCCACTATCTTCACTTCCATCGTCTAGCACAATCACATGCATGAATCACGCGGCTGTTCCGTAATTAACACGAGTCACGTGCACGCTAGCACTGCGGCGAAGCTCCCGCTAGAATATTATCACGCCTCGATTCACTCTTCCCACTCTCTTATGTTCAAAATTCAAAAACAAAGATTCTAATCTAAAATTTCCAGGA